GAGGTGGAGTTTTATTTATTTATTCGTTTGTTTGTTTGTTTATTTTTGGCTGCATTGGGTCTTTGTTGTTGCTCATGGGCTTTCTCTAGTTGTGTCGAGCAGGGGCTTCTCTTCCTTGCGGTGCGTGGGCTTCTCACTGTGGTGGCTTCTATTGTTGCAGAGCACAGGCTCTAGGCGTGTGGGCTTCAGTAGTTGTGGCTCATGGGCTCAGTTGTGGCTTGTGGGCTGTAGAGCACAGACTCAGTAGTTGTGGCGCACGGGCTTAGTTGCTCCGCGGCATGTGGGATCTTCTGGGACCAGGGCTCAAACCCATGTCCGCTGCACTGCCAGGCAGATTCTTAACCACTGCGCCACCAGGGAAGTCCCCAGAGCTTTCTGAAGTTGTAGCCATTTTCTTTTTGAACCAAAAATGCAAATATAAAATAAAATTGCAATGTAATTAAGAAAAAAGAGGCAGTTCTTACCTAACATTTCAAAAGTCATTAATTCTACAAATATTTGCTGAGGGTTTGTTGTGATAAATAGAATGTAGCCAATAAAAAATAAACAAGCAGAAAGTTAAAATAGATGTTTAAAAGTCCATAAAATAAACTGTGCACTTCACTTAATTAGATTCTGTTCTCTCCTGTATTACAAATAGTCCAAACAGCTTGATGAATGAAAATGCCAATCACTGTGCCTCCCCACCCAGTGCCCCGGCTAAGAAGGGCCTTGGCTCAGCCTGAGGGATGAGACAGCATATGGAGGCAGAGGTGTTCTATGTGGAAGGACTCTACTCTCCTGCTGCAGCTGATGAGTCCTGAGCAGGGCCACCAATCCTGTGGGAGGTCAGAACCTTAGGGAAAACCCCTGCGACCAGATTCCTTTTCTCATGATTTCAGTCCAGGTCTAGATCAGGTCTCTGCAGCTGAAGCCAAAGCCAAAGTTAGGGATGTAAACTGAGGTCAGTGGTCAGCATTGCCATGTGCAGGCCAGAGTTGCAAAGGTGCAAAAACTGAGTGAGCAGAGGAAGCCAGCAGTGGAGAAAGGAGAAAAGAGCAGATGCAAAGGCACCTTGAGGGAGACAAAGTCCCTGAAGTAGCTAAGTTCCAGGCTGCTCTCCACTTCAGTGTTCAGTTACTTCCCGCTTGGGTTAACTTAAATGGGATTTTTTTTCCTTTCGATTTAATGGCCTGAGTTGTGGATGTTTGAACATATGGTATAAAAGGAGCAAGTCAGAAGTAGAGCAGGAAGGAAGGCTGTAGAGGAGGCAAACTGAAGACGGAAACGACAGCAAAGGAATAAGAAACACACGTGAAATGGAAGAACACATTAAGTCTAAGGCCATCCAGTGAGGGGCCTCTATGATCTTGGCCTGGGTACCGAAAAAAAAAAAAAAAAAAAGAAATAAAATCTGTCTGGGCAGACAGGATGTATGCAAGAAAAGATAGCCCATGATAAACAGCAAGTGCTTGTTGCAGACAACTGTTAAGGATTTAGAGTGTGAGATAGTCGATAAGAGCAACAAGTGACAGAAGGGACCAGCAATGAGCTTTGAAGGACAAAAAATTAATAACTAGAGAAAAAGGTAGAGGGCATTTTAAACCCATAGACCATTGGTCTCCCTAGGAGTTTGTTTAAAATATATAT